ACAAACAAACAAACAAACAAACAAACACCAAATTAAAGCTGTGTGGACCCTGGCTAGCGCCAGACGTTACTGAAGTAACGTCTTCTGCATAGCTACGGGAACGAGAGAGCTTGGAAGCTCAGGGCCCTACGCTATGCTTTGTTGCTTAGCTCATCGTGCATGTTGTGGGAACTGATGGAAATGTTTCCTGGGACGGCGCTGACTCTGCCGATCACGCGCACGGGCGTTCCGGAGTCGACAGGATCTCTCTCCCGACGTTTCCTGTGACCGGCGCTGACTCGCCCGTTCACGCCTATTTTGGGGACGACGGGATCTCTCTTCCAAAGTATGTTTTTGCTGACGCATCCTATCACCTATTCGGCAACTAACATCCATTCTAATATTATTTCCTCCTCGTCTTCCTATTTCTTTCCAGAAAGTCTCCCTATACATCAGGGAGTCGTACTCTATTGACAGCTACCCTAACGGGTCACGCCGCGCTCCACCCAAGCATGGGTATGATGAGGGACAGTGGCAACAGAAACAAAAAACCGCAAGCAGAGAGAGATAGGAAGGGAAAGACAGCGATAGTAGTACATCTGGTGTGCGACGTATAGAAAAGAGAGATGACAAGAGATGCGCACAAAAAAGGAAACAATAATTATTTTTGCAGTTCAGAAACAATCAACCATGTGATGGAGTGTGGGCACCTGAAGTCCCACCTGGACTCCAATGGAAGAACATCCCACGCAGGGATATCAGCGATAGGCCAAGCGTTGAAGAACAGCCATGAGGACACATCGTCTAGGAGTCCACCGCGCTCGAACTGCAATTGCAGGTTCAAACAATTTCCCACGCGTCGTCAGGCAGCGTAACTCTTCTCCCTGCATCACCATCCATCTCCAGTAACCGCCTCCACTCACAGCTCATGCCTCTGCCACCACTATACTCCTCCGAGCTTCGCAGTTTGAAACCATTCGGGGGTCAGCTACACTACCGCGAATGGAAAGACGAGGACGACAACGGTCGTGACTGAAAAGACACTGCCTTGGCGACGGGAACCCTCGCCCCAGCAAATTCAGAAACACGCCAGGGGCGACTCTGGTGGACCTAGAGCCACTCCCTTGGCAAGACTAGTACATGTAAGAGGAACGACTGAAAACTCAGATAAAACGGAGCTACAAAAAGTGCAACCGTCCCCTGCAAGCACAGTTGCAACACACAGGGAGTCGTATACATGTACATAATACGACCAATATTGTGGCCAGCTGTTTGTGGCCAGCTGTGTTTGATGGTACGGTACGGTACGGGACCGATACGGAAGCCAGCAAATGGCCAGCTGTGTTTGATGGTGCGGTACGGGACAGATACGGGATAGCGCCAGGCGTGACACAAACAAACAAACAAACAAACAAACACCAAATTAAAGCTGTGTGGACCCTGGCTAGCGCCAGACGTTACTGAAGTAACGTCTTCTGCATAGCTACGGGAATTAAAATTATTATTATTATACCAATGGCAAACCCGACTGTGTATGTTGAACTACCTCATAATGCCGATCCTTCTATACAATTGCGGATTGTGGACTCTGTCCAAATTGCTGAACGACAAACTGGACAAATGGCAACGGAGGAAGCTACGCGTACTGCTGCAGATTGTCTACCCGCAACGCATCACCAATAACAACTTATACATAGAAACAAAACAATCTCCAGTTAGTGCCACATGCCGGCGACGCAGGCTGCTGTGGTTTGGCCATGTGGTGCGAGAGGGTCCAGAATCCGCCTCGTTCCAAGCACTGGAGCTATCAATCAACACAAACGACATAAAAAAACCCGTGGCCGTTCGCCAATGCGGTGGATAGATACGATTCGGCACGACTTGAAGGCAGCGGATCTCTCCGTGGAGAGCGCTCTCCAAGCTGCAGGAGATAGACTAACTTGGCTTGACACTGTTGACAGATGCGTCGACTCTGCTCCTGTCTAACAGGTTCAGGGAAGATGCGAGCTGTGTTTATTATTATTAATGGCAAACATTCATGAAACTTACCAGAAAAAGTACCGAATTCTGCCAGTTTTTCTGCCGGCATTATCCATGCCTAGTGGTTGTGCGGAATGCTCTCAATCAACCAATCAGTCAGTCGCTGTCCCCGTGGGCATGGCAGGAAGTTAGTTACACTTGTGCCGGCATCCAGGGATTTTGAGAGAAATCCAGGGATTCTGCATGGCTTGTCAAGGGATTGAGATTTTGGTGGTTGGTCAGTATGTGAGTACAATGTATACGGTAGTACTCGAAGCACAAAGCCATGCACTGGCTCAGTGTCTTTTATCACATTCAGTGCCTACATTACATGTATTACTATTTCACAGTCCAATGGCAGAAGCCAATGCAAAGGAGGGGGGCGTTAGCCAGCCATGGCAAGAGAAGAAAAAAATGAAGGAAAGAAGATGATAATCGGAAGAAAATAATGCATCAGCGGGATGAAATGTATCACTATGTTGACCATGGTGGAGAGCGGCGAGATAAGCTAGCAAAAGAGGCGAGCGAGCCTACAACATTGCATGACATTTAACATGGTCTATGAACTGTCCAATATTGGATATTGTCTTCATTTCCATGGGCAGCTTGAGCCAATACGAGCATGCAGAGAAGATAGGAGATTTGGTAAACATAGTTGACAAAGCTCTGGGAAGTACTATGCCATTGCGAGTGTCCCGTGCGAAAGTAAACCAATTATATTTGGTGAGATGTTCAGGGGCAATGTTCAGTTTAATGCGATGGACCAGAACGCAAGACTGTCTCTGCGACAGGATAGAGATGGGGCTGGTGGAGGCCAAACTATATAGATCAGTAGAGGGGAAAAGAGAGGGTTTACGAAAAATAATTTTCAACACACGTTTATGATGTATTTCTAGTGTCTGTACAGCAGATTTACTAAGCAGGGAATGCCAAGCAGTGGCGCCGTACAGAAAGATAGGAAGGAGGTAGCATTTATAAAAGAGACGAATATATTCGGGGGACAAGTGGGAGCAGTGAGACATCAGGCAACCTGCAGATTTGCTAACTTTGTTGCATACAAAATCTACGTGAGAATTCCAGGACAATTGCGAGTCAAATACAACACCCAAATGCCTGTGCGTATCTACAATATTAATATTAATAGCCGAATCAAGTCCGGGAAGGGTAAATGTGGGAGGGTGGTCTAATTAAGGGAGAAAGACTATTTCTGTTTTCAAGATATTGGGTTTCAGACGCCATGACAACATCCATTTATGAACAACATTGATTCCATTCTGAAGCTTCGTACACAGGTTTGCAATGTCAGCGTCAAACTGAATGAGGGCTGTGTCATCAGCAAATAGTGGCAAACCATCTATACAGTCATAGCATACGCGAGTAAGAGGGTACAGTGTCCTACCCTGCTTGGACATACATGTAATCTCTCCTCACGGACAGTCTCCTCTTGAATTTAAAAGTCTAACAGCGTTCACATCAATACTCAACTTATTCTTTTGCTCACTGAGCAATACAATCTTTCCATTTTCTTTCTTCTGTTTTCTTTTTTAATTTAATCCTCCCTACCCAATATCCCTTTGGTGCGTCCATGGAGCTATGAAGCCGAGACCTCTGGTCGGCGGAGCTTAATGGGCCCCACCACCACACTCCATCATTCACCCCAGTGTCTGGAGATATGTGGATTTTGTAGAAAAAAAAAAAAAAAAAAAAAAAACAGTCAGGTAGATCGTTTATATACAACAAGAATAGTAGAGGCCCCAGTATAGATCCCTGGGGGACTCCCGACTTCACAGGCAGTGGGTCTGAGAGTACCCCTTCGACTGACACTGATTGCGTTCTATCTGTTAGGTAGTCCGTAATCCACGCCAGAGACGCTCCGGAAACATTGTACATCGCAGATAATTTAGCTAGGAGTCCACGGAACCATACCGTGTCAAACGCCTTTGCTAGGTCGAAAAAACACATACCAACATGTTGGTGGTCATGACGAAGGGCCACAATGTCCTGCACAAGGCGTGTCAGGTACATGCCTGGCGCAAAGAGTCCAGCCTGCCAGGGTTGTGGATTCCTGAGATCACACGACACGAATGAACTGACTCCAAGAAACGCAATGACACTTGACAGAAGACAGACAAGACAGGTCATTCTACCAGCCCAGCCGACCCACCACCTCCGTGCAGACCATCGACCAGGCTGGCTACTAAGATCGCTCAGCAACACCAGAACCAGCTAAAATCCACACTCCCGGCACGCACCCGAGGCAGCCTCCGCAATGGGTTCCCCGATTGCGCCATTCCAACGTCGAACAGCCTGCGCGGACATGTCTTGCGATCTGCACCCCACCCACAACAGCTGCAGTCCTTCAAGGAAAGATGCTATAAGTACCTGCTGCGCCTTGACTGACAGAGAGCAACTGACGTTCTTTGACTTCCTTAGCTTAAGTTCTGATTGACCCCAATTTCCCTATCCAACATACTTGTATCCTTTATCTTTATCCTTCAGCAGTGCATGTGTGGGCGCTGCACTTCCGTATACTAGTACATGTCTTGCTCTCGTCTTGTTTTTCTTTTTCTTTTCTCTCTCTCTTATGTCTTCTATTTGTATGTCCTTCTCTATTTTTCTTGGCGCGCTTTGTCTGTGCAGACGCCGAGACCACCAAGGTCGGCTGAGCAGCAGGGCCCCGCCACCACTTTCCGCATTCATTCGGGAGCATAGTGGACTTAGTAAAAAAAAAGCTAGCTGAAGGCCAACTCGAAATCGACGGTATACCGGTAAGCTATGGTCCTAGGTACGGTACGGTAATCCGATGACCTGCGCCGCATGCTTCCTATCAATCGCATGCATCGCGAATTCCCACCGTACACTCCGTGTACGGGATGCGTATACGGTGGCATGGGGATGGATCTACGGTGTCATGTAGATATGTACGGTGCTCCATTGGCTCTGCTGGCCTTTGGAAAAGTAGCCATACCCTCTACAGAACCCTCCTGACCGCTGCTGATCAAAAGCAGTTCGGTAGATAGGCAATTCGGCAGCATAATACTCTCCCGTTTCCTATATCCCGTAGCACAATTTAGGATCTCTGCGGGTAGAATCAATCACCATCTGCAGCAGCACACCAGATCAGAGAGACTACCCGGCAGTGAACATGGCTTTCAACATCGACAAAACAATCGAGCGTCTTCTTGAGGCCCGGTTCTCAACGCCCTTCAAGACCGTCGAGCTCAAGGAGGCCGAGATCCGCGAACTGTGCACGCGCGCTCGCGCCCTGCTACTCTCTCAGCCCATGCTGCTGGAGCTGGATGCGCCCATCAAGATCTGCGGTGACATCCACGGCCAATATACGGACCTGTTGCGCCTGTTCGAGTTCGCAGGCTATCCCACGCAGCACAACTACCTGTTCCTGGGTGACTACGTTGACCGCGGCCGGCAGCAGATAGAAACAATCTGCCTGCTGCTCGCCTTCAAGGTTAAGTTCCCGCGCACATTCTTCATGCTCCGTGGGAACCACGAGGATAAGGCCATCAATGAACAGTGGGGCTTTATGGAAGAGTGCAAACAGCGCTACAATATGGGTGTTTATAACGAATTCAACAGCACCTTCCAGAATTTGCCGATCGCGGCGATCGTGGGCGATAGCATCTTCTGTGCACACGGTGGTATATCCCCCAAGCTGACCAACATGGATCAGATCCGGAATATTAAGCGACCGCTGCCTGTCCCTAGATCTGCTGGAACACCACACGAAGTCATGCTTGACCTCCTCTGGTCAGATCCACACCCCGGGACAAAACTGTTCGCGCCAAATTCGGACCGTAACGTGTCTGTTTTTATTGGACCAGACCTGATCGATCAGTTCCTGAAACGCTTCAACTTGCAGCTGATCGTGAGAGCCCACCAGGTGGTTATGAACGGGTATGAGTTCTTTGCGGATCGCAAGTTGGTCACGGTGTTCTCCGCACCGAACTATACTGGCGCCTACGACAACGCTGGAGCTGTAATGGTTGTAGATAAAGACTTGAAGTGCACATTCCAGATCATGCAGCCCTCCCATAAGAGCACCACCTTGGAAGCGGCCAAGGACGCTATCCAGGCACTCAGAGCCTCAGCCTCGGGCAGCTGATGACATCATCATGTGGCATGCAGTCCCCCGTGAACAGCGCGACATCTATGATTGTATTGTTATTGTACACAGTCCTGTTGCTCTACCGGACTAACTCCAGAGCAAAGTCTTTTTCCTACTCCTACTACTATACATCGTAGATTCGTGGGACCCTGGACCACCCAACTACACCTGTAAGCAATAGCTCAAGGGCTCTTCCTATGACTTATGCGCAGTCGATACACTCAATTTGCCACAGTATCTAGCTCTCGAACCCTAGCACAATCGTTACCATGCCTACCACTATGGCCTTTTACTACGAAATAGGCTCGACACAGAACACTTTGGAGTCTGACGTTTTTCTTGTTCTCACCTTGAAGTTGAACTCTCGAATATTTCGTTCACGATCATTCACCTGTTATATCTGGGCTAGACTTGAATTATTTGAATTCGCAGCCACTTAACATGTCTGCATAATGAAAATTCCTCTGGTCCGGAATTTTCGTCTTCAACTCTTGCTGTTGTGTATGTCTGGTGCACGGTGGTCGGTGGTCTCTAGGAGGACCCACACAAAGAGGACCCACAGGTGGGATGCTATCATTAGGCATGGGCGGGTAATGCTAGCATTATGGCTGGCATTATAGTCCCTCTTTTCCGGGTGGCATAATGCTGGCATTATAACACCTTTTCGCATGCAAAATAATTAATAATTGCATTACAAGCATGCATGAAGCTGGCTAGGTCCAGTTCCGAAAATCGTGCATCTGAACCCGTCCGGCTTCGTCCGGAGACTTGACGTTGCATATCAACCTTCTCAGTGGATTGTTTCAGACAACATGCTCACTGCTGTTTAAGTTTTTTTCTTTTAAATTGACTTTTCCAACTTTCAAACTGGCATTATGGAGTAGTGTGAGCATTATAAGTTATCTTGGTGAACCAAGAAACGGCTTCAGGGGATATGATAGTAGCGAGCTGACGGAGAAGAACAGTGGGCGGTACCTTGTCAAACGCTTTCGAGAAATCCAAGAATAGAGCGTGGTAGTCAGTGCGCTTGTCGAGTGCTTTAGCCACTCTTGAAGACAGGACAATTAACTGATCGAGTGTCGACTTGCAGGAGACAAAGCCATACTGGTGGTCGGTAATTAATCCCTGCCTATTGAGGAAGCTGGTGAGGTGCTCGGGGATGATGGCGTCCAGAATCTTAGCTAAGGCCGGCAGCAGGGAGATAGGCTAATTTGAAAATACGGTTTTTGTTCCAGTGCATTCGCTTGTGCTGGGCAGTGAACCAAGGCTCCGTGGTCTGCTTTCTTCTTAGCTTAAATGTTCGCATGGCCAAGTGGCGCTGGATACTCTCATTGGCATAGGAGTGCCAAGAGTGCCAGGCGCTTTCCATACAACTGGCGCCATCTATACACTCTCGGAGAGGCTGCAACCAGCGGTCCGCTCGCATAGCCTCAAAGTCGGCGCGTGCGTAATCCGGTACCACTATCTGCTCACGAGTTTGCTGTCTGAGTTGCCTCAGTTGAATGTTGCAGAGTACTGGACAGTGGTCGGAGAGCGGAGGCAGCACTTCGGGAGTGGTGACTAGATGGGGAGTATTGGTGATGACAAGATCAAGCAGAGACGGAGGCGATCGACCTGTTGGCGCGTAACGAGTGGGTGTGTGGGTGACGAGTTGGAGAAGACCCAGGTCATCCGGCGTGGCGATCAGTTTCTGGCCTTCTGTAGTATCTGGGTCGGACTGGAGCCAACAGGACATTCTGCAATTCAAGTCGCCGATCAGAATGAGGGGGAGATGGGGGTTGTCAAGGTGTCGGGTGACAGTGGCATGGAAAGCATGGAAAACTGTTTCACGTTGGGCCGCTATGGAATGCGGGGGTCTGTAGAAAAGGTGAATTGGACTAGCAGGGCTGTTAAATTTATGGTAAAGCAAACAGATATCTTCAAGGCATGAAGATTCAAGGTGAGAGCAGCGAGAAAAGTATGGAGCAAGGGAAGAGCGTAGATAGACTGCTACCCCTCCCCCCATTGAGCAATATACTGCATTATGCCTATCTCGTCTAAAGAGGGTGTAGCCATCTAGCGTCAGGACGGCATCTAGCAATGAATGATGGAACCAAGTTTCACTGAGAAATAGTATGTCTAAGTTGTGATCCACCAAAAGTTGCTCAATCACTGGTAGCTTGCTCACAGCGCTTTGGTAGTTAAGTTGGCCGACTCGAAGACCAACTTCGGAGGATGTAGTGAAGGAAGGCGACGTAGGGGGGATGTTACATAGATGTGGACGGGTAGGCTTGGCTGTTAACAGATCTGGCATAGTGTGCCCCCTAGGTGTGCCTACGTTGGAAGGTGTGAATACAGCGGCCAATGGGTTGAGCATGTTCTTGGTGGGAAGTGGGGTAAGCTAAATGTTGGTATTGGGGTGATCAGAGGGGAGGACTAAATGAACATACTTCTAAGGTAAACTGTGACTGAGACTTACGAGTACATGGTGGTCTTGCGGTCTGGCGATCTACTGCGTGCTGCAACCCTTGCGGCTAGTTGGCGCTGCTCAAGCACTGCAGCCTCATTGGCCCACTGGACCTGTAGGTCGGGTTCCTTGGGCATTGCAGGTGTTGTGCGAAGTGTATGTTTGCCAACTGCCAGAACAAACTCACCGGGTGGTGTGTCAGGAGACTGGTGACTGGTCTTTCCACGGCCTGGTGGGTGCTGGGTAGGCCTGGGCGGATAATGCTAGCATTATAGTGTGCGATTTGCAACGAGCATTATGCTAGCATTATAACACTACATTTCCGCAAAAGTGGCATTATACACAAATCATGACCCTCACTTCTCCGAAAACCAGGCTTATGGTGAAAATCATTTTTTTTGAGAAAAATAATGTTTTGTAAAAAAAGGTGTCGCGTGGACGCTCGAGTGCAGTGCAGTGGCAAAGAGAATCTCGCTTGTTCGAAGAAGTAGCAGTCATGGCAGGAAGGGTTTCAGCAGTCAGGAAAGTCAAAGGGCTTCCGGTAGAATATTCCCTGCTACTCCTCTAGTCACAACGAAGAGTATTTGAGCTGATCGAACGGATTCCATCTCCTACACTCAGCAGTCAGGGATGGCGAAATTTCTGCGCTAGCTGCTGCTTGCGAAAAATGGTGAAGAAATCGTCTCCAGTTAGAGTCGTGACGGCGATAGCGAGGAGAACCTGGACGACATCGATCCAGCCCATCGAAGTACAGTACGGAGATACTAGCTGTTTCTGGGCCTCACACAAAGGGAACACGCGCAGCTGAGCTCATACGTTTGAAGCAAGTTCACCAGGAAAATGGCTTGAAGCGCAGTGTGAAAACTGTTTTGAATTGAAGTCCTTGGCGATGAAGTGCTACTGAATGCCAGGCGAATGAGCGAGCAGATCGAGAGACCTCCACTCGAGACTTTCCTCGCTGGACAGCTAGCTGCAAGGGATTGTATGGAGCAATAGCAGCATAAAATTAGCATTATGATCATGATTTTCTAGCATTTTCTATGCCGTCTACGTAGACTACGAAACGTGCACAATACTGCCCAAACCAAGCCATTTTTCCATACTTACTACTGGTGAATTGCTGGTATTACAGAGGAACAGCAGCATTACAAGTAGCATTATGATGCAGGTTTTCTGGCAATGCCATTAGCATTATCCCGCAAAATAACTAGCATTATCTGCTCAGGCCTAGTGCCGGGGAGCTGTGGGTGTAGCACTTGGTGCAGGTACCTCGATGAGGACTTTGGATACCCCAGGATAGGGCTCGATCACCGCCCCAGCCAATAATAGCACGTCTCCAATAATAGAACACCTTGGGGCGGCATTCAAAAAAATAAAGTGATCAGTCTCCATTATAAGCACACTGTGTAAATTCGTTATCTGTACCGACGAAAAAACCCCTGAAATGTGTGTGTCTGACATGAATTTGGCATGGCAACATGCCTCTGAAATGAGGTTGAAATATTAATGGAACAGTCTCCAATAAAGGAACGTCTCCATTAATAGGGGCAGAGGTACATTGAAAAAATAAAGGACCGTGCTTATATTAGGCCACGGTAAAAATTGTCTTTGATTCTCAAGTACGCGCGCACCGATTTTTGGCGGCGCACCGACGATTTTATGCATGAATATGCGCGCATGAAAACGGTCAATGCGAAAGGCATGAATCAGGGAGTAGTAAAATACCGGTATTTTTCTGCTTCCTGGCCTGAAGATACATGTGACCATGTACATGTACATGTATACTGTGACCATGTATACATCTATGTGTGACAGTGTGACCCCATCTTTAGCTTTGGAAATCCCTGCTATTTGGAAACACGCAATTGTAACTCCGGTCTTTAAGAACAAGGGAAGTAAGCTCGATGCATCGAATTACCGCCCGATCTCGTTATTGTCAACAATCTCCAAGCTGTGTGAACGTATTATGTACAACCACTTATACACTTACCTGTCTCCTGTTCTACATCCGTCCCAGTCTGGATTCCGAAAAGGCGACTCTACGTCCTGGCAGCTTCTCAGACTTGTTCAATCGATGTCTTCTGTTCGTGAGAACGGCCATTACAGCATGCTATGTTTCTTTGATCTAAGCAAGGCCTTCGACACAGTATGGACACGCGGGCTCCTATACAAGCTGTCGCGCCATGGAATCCATGGTACTTGCTTCACGTGGCTCAGTACTTACCTGACGGGCAGACAGCAAAGGGTGCGTGTCGGTTCTGCTCTGTCTGCCAAAGGGCATGTACGATCTGGAGTTCCTCAGGGATCAATCCTGGGGCCTCTCCTCTTTCTTATGTATGTAAACGATCTGGCAGAAATGGATCACACATCACTATATGCTGATGATACAGCACTACTTGTGACAGCACCCACTCTCCCCGAGGCTAGTGCCAAGTTACAGTCCAACATAGATGGCGTTATTCATTGGATGGAAAAATGGAAATTGCAGCCCAACTCTTCGAAAACTGCTGTAATGTGTATCCCCCCCCCCCCCCCCCCCCCCAGTTGTTCCTGTGACCTATCTTCATTAGTAACCAGTCCCTTCACCTTTCCAGGCACCACAACCCCGCTCTGCATCGTTGAAAAACACAAGCATCTTGGCGTCATTATTGACCAACACTTAACCTGGAAATCCCAGATCGAACATTTAGACAGCCGTGTTAGCTCAGTAATGGGATTTCTCTCATCACACATCACCCACCTCCACACCGACTGTCGCCATGTTATCTACACATCTTACATTCTGCCTATTTTTGATTACTGCTGCATAATTTGGGCTGGCATTTCTAAAACACAGATTGCTCGACTCGAAGTTATGCATAGGCGTCTTTTGAAAATATTATTTCGGCTTCCTCGCCTGACTCCAAGCGCAGACTTATACCGCCTTGCTTCTGCTGTGCCGCTCTCGGTCCGCGTGCGTTTTTTGGCATGCCAGACAATTCATAAAATTAAGCTGGGCATTGCTCCTCTTCATGCTCTCTCCTGCCTAAGCTGGTTTGCTAA